TATTAAATTAGTCATCGATTATTTTAATAATCGATTAGTTGTCAATTAATTGTGGCAGCCCTAATGGTCACCAGTCATTTTGGACTTCATTGGTGACCTTAGGCCCTAAGGTCACCATTGAAGTCCAAAAATGAGGTCCATGGTCCACAGTCAGGTTCCAGCAAGATCCACACTAAGGTCACCAGTGATGTTCATAGTGAGGTCCATGGTCCACACTAAGATCACCAGTGAAGTCCATAGTGAGGTCCATGGTCCACACCAAGATCACCAGTGAGGTCCATAGTGAGGCCCATGGTCCACACTAAGATCACCAGTGAGGTCCATGGTCCACAGTCAGGTTCCAGCAAGATCCATACTAAAGTCACCAGTGAAGTTCATAGTGAGGTCCATGGTCCACACTAAGATCACCAGTGAAGTCCATAGTGAGGTCCATGGTCCAAACTAAGATCACCAGTGAAGTCCATAGTGAGGTCCATGGTCCACACCAAGATCACCAGTGAGGTCCATGGTCCACACTAAGATCACCAGTGAGGTCCATAGTGAGGCCCATGGTCCACACTAAGATCACCAGTGAGGTCCATGGTCCACACTAAGATCACCAGTGAGGTCCATAGTGAGGCCCATGGTCCACACTAAGATCACCAGTGAAGTCCATAAGGTCCATGGTCCACACTAAGATCACCAGTGAGGTCCATGGTCCACTGTGATGTTCACAGTGAGTTCCATAGTGAGGTCTATGGTGGAATGAAGGAAACGTTCCACTTTATTTGTAAAACACTGAAAGGTGAAAATGCTTCAGGGACTTTTAGATCGTGTTACTCAGACAGGACATCATGTCCAACCTTCACACAAACAGAGTCCTCTGTGTGAATTCCTTTGGACAGAATTGGACAACTCTTTGAGGGAACTGAGCCCATCGTGTTGGACAGTCTAAAGCAGCACTACTTTATTGATCGAGATGGTCCCATGTTCCGTTACATACTGAACTTCCTCCGGACCTCCAAACTCCTCATCCCTGATGACTTCACGGTGAGTATGTGTCTGATGATTCTTCACCTGAAGACAGAAACCATCAGTCCAGGTGTTGACCTGTATCTTTGTGTGTGTTGTGTAGGAGTACAGCTTGCTGTATGAGGAAGCCTTGTTCTTCCAGCTTGCTCCTCTGCAGGCCGAGCTACAGCACTGGAGGTCCGAGCAGGAGCGGAGGGGAGCATGCAGACGGTGTGAGTGTGTCCTGCTTCATGTGGCTTCGGAGCTCGGTGAGAGGATCAGTATGAGCGCCCAGAGGGCGGTGATCCGGGAGGTTTTTCCTGAGGTCCTGTCTAACTGGGACCAGGACTCCTCCTCGTATGTCACCCGCTTTCCGCTCAGTGGAAGCTGCCACTTCAGCTCAGTTCAGGTACAAACACCAGGCAGGAACACCACGGACTGCTGCCTGAAATGTCTCCGCTGTGGTTAGTAACACATTCAACTGAAACTAATCTAAAGGCGGAACCTTGTGAGCAGCACAAACACACGTAACATGTAGCATTTGTTTAGTTTCACACAATTAGCAGATATTTTACAAAATAAGGCACCCTAGGATTTGATTGTCCCTTGGTCCTCATTTGCAAGGCATCATGGTAAGAAACTCTTGCTGAATGAATCCACAGGGACGTGCTATGTCAGTGGATGTGGGTCGTAAGCCCATTCTAGAAACCAGTACAAGTTTATGTGGAAACTGGGTTTTCATTATGAAAAAGACTAAACTCTCCCTACAGCTAATTCTGATGAGTTATTTTTCTATCCAGTAATATGTGGTGACTTTAGCTTTCCTAACGGCATCTTGAGATAAAAATGAACAATGTCTGCAAATCAAAGTAAGACAGTACAACTACTACACAACACTAATTAAAATTCCCTTTTTACCTCTGAAAATACACTTGGCACAAAAACGTAAGGAAATTAGTGTTTGGTAGTTTATTTCTTTGTTGTAACAATGCTTCTTGGCAATAAATCTTTGGAAAGCCTGTTAATTTCCCTTTTAAATTCGCCACATTTATAAGGAACATGCATTTGTGGGCTGAGCAGTAGAGCCAAGTATGTGGGATGCATAATTTAACAATTTGTTCATTTAACAAACAGGCGCTTCAGTAGCGTGTGGAAGAACCATATTTGATTTAGCAAATTTTTAACAGGTTTTCCAAAGGTATAAGATTTATTTCCAAGAATTGTTACAACAAAGAAATCATTTACCAAACACTAATTTCCTTTCTAAGTTTATATCTAAACACTCAGTTTAATTTAGCTACAACACTTAAAGAAGAAACTTAACAACAAATAAATGTGTTATCAATTTATCATTTCAATGAACTGTCTGGAATCTTATTCTAAAAAAATGTTTTGAAGCACTTTTTTGAGGATTAGCAACCAAAAACCCGATTTTGAGGAAAAATGCCTTAAAAATTTCAGATTTTCCCTGTAAGCTATCAAAGCTTTTGTTTGTTTCCAGCTGGGAATCTCAATATTCAAATACTATTTGAGGTTTCTTTTTAAAAATGACATAAAGAATGCTCATTAAAATTACATAAAATTAGGATTTAGACCAAATATTTATGTATTATTGTAACCAACAAGACAAATTAAATATCTCTAGATCTACTAATGATATCAGGATGATCTAAGTATCAAAATGTAGCTTTTAAAGCTAAGAATCAGAAAATATGATTAGGTCATTTTGACCAAATTTGACTTAATCCTCATTTCCATGTGATGGGTCACAAATAAAAGTTACAATATATATGTATATTTTTTGTAAATTTACAAATCCTCAAAAAAATAGCCTAACAAAATAAATGTAAGTAGTTATTCTACAGCACTGAGAATTACAGATGATTAATAATATTTAAAGCAGAATTGATTTGAGCCTGTTTCGGGGTTACTTCTGTTCAGATCCAGTTGAACATTTTGGTAAGAATTTTGACGAGTTGTTTTTGTCACATGCATAAAACCAGGTCTGGGTCTACATCAGAACCATAACCTTCACGTGTTCTTCCAGCTCCTCGTCTTCACGTTGCTCTTCGATCCGTGTCTTGTCTGCAGGTTCTGGAGCGCCTCCAGCTGAAAAGGTTCTGGATCATCAGTTCCAGTGGAGGTGGCGTGGACTCCTCTCAGTTTAATGAATACGTTCTCCAGAGGGAGGTCCAAGAGGACCAGCACCCCACCGCTACACGGCCCCCCGACAATCAAACAGGAAAGCCAGGACTGAACTGAGCCCATTTGAAATGGGTCGACACAGAACCGGAGGTCGTAGTGAAAAAGACCTCGTCTTTATCCTGATGTTTGGAGTCAGGGACTTCAGGACCGGGCTCAGATGTAAACGCATGGGTCGCTGGTAAATTCAGGTTCAGCACCATGTGTTCACTTTCACTCAGGCGTCATCGCGTTCAAGCACAGGTAGCGGCGGCCATCTTGAACAGTGTTTATGAGGTTTATTCTCCTCCAGAGTCAATAAAACTAAACGAAGATGAGCTGTTCTAGCAGAGCGAGTTGTTGATCGACTGTAGAGTAAGAGTGAAACTAAAACTGGAGAAAAGCCAGAGTCAGAAATGTTTAATTCTCTACAATGTGCAGGAGGAGAAAAATGTACACATCCTGTATCCTACTACGAACCAGGTGACAGAACAAATAAAAACAGAAGTCACATGACTGAAACTTATTTAACGCACAAATAAAAACCAACACATTTAAAAAAAGAGCCAGAATAAACCTTCAGTCAGCTTCAGTGTGCAGTGAGAAAAATAAAGACTGTTTGTTGGAAGTTTAATTCTCAGAGTTACTTTGGAAAAACCTCGAGTGACAGATGACATTTTTTCTGATTCTGATGAATTAAAAAGAAAACTTAAAGGATAACAATTATCTAATTGTAAATGTACTTACAGTGAAAACATTCTTCTCATTCTTGTCTCATTTTCTCAGGAACAAAATTTAAAGTTGTTTTTACAAATTTGAGCAAATAAATGGATTATGAAACCAGGAGTGAGTTTATTCCATCCTGTTACTGATGTTAGTGTCTCACTGAGCTGCTGGACACAAAGAGCTGATTATTCTGCTGCAGTCTCACTGGACTCACAATCACTGAACTGCAGTCTGAACACTGTGAAAATCATTTATTTTGTGTGCTTGTAAAACTGTACTCTTGTTAATGCTGCACATTATCTCAGCCTACTTTGTTCCAACTTTACGATGTGACCTACTGGAGTACACTTTAGAGACAAAGATAGGCAGGTGTGAACCAGTGATTTATTAATGACCAGCTTGTCTCTTATGATGGTTGTTGAGACCTACAACTGAACTGAGATGTTAAAGATGACTGTGACGACTGACAAAATCTGAACATGTTCATAGTTAAAGCAGCAGGAGGCTGTGAAGTAAGGATACTGAGAAAACTGCCAACGTTTGAAGAAATTCTGTAGATTCTCTTTTAAAAGCTGTTCACCAGCCAGTCCAGCTCAGTGAGATGCTGGTTTGAACACAGGATGGGACAGAGGAAAACGGGAAGAATCTGGGAGTGCTGACTGGAAACCTGGATGGAAAACTTCAGGTGAAACTGAGAAGACGAGCTGAAGATGTCCTCAGAAGACCTCAGTCAGTGGGAGGAGCTTCCTGGGGTTCTCGATTCACTGAATCAAAAAGAAAGAGTTAATGGTTTCGTCAAACAGTTCTTCATTTAAAAACTAATCCCTCAAAGACAAAAGCCTTACCTTCTTCTCTTGCTTTCATGCGGGCAACAAAGTTGTAGCTCTTATTCCTGCGGTAATTCTCATACGGATCATCTAGTGAGACCCCAACGCCTTTGTACTGGTCCCACTTATCCCGAATATCTCCTCCTTTGATAGGGTCCTGGATGCCTTGTTCTTTGGCTCCCAGCCCCCCGCTGCCACTCCAACCTACAGCCAACAGAAACATGTAAGCATCCCGACAGGAAGCATGAACACTGTGCAGAACCAGAACACTCAGATGAAGGAACACACCCATTTTCATGAGGAGCTGATGGCCTTTGTTCTCCTCTCCTAAGCGGCTCTCTGCATGTAGCTTGGAGGGCGGAGGCACCATGGCTGCTGTGGACCTGGGGGGACGGAGGACAGCTGATTCTCAGCAGCTTACAACGGAAGTCTGTTATATAAAAAAACAGGATCAAACTTACGAAGGGGAGGGACTTCGAGATTTAGCTCCACGACGTTGCTTAGCGGGCGAACGGGAGCGAGATCTGGATCTGGAGCCAGAACGACTTTTAGAAGACCTGGATCGACTTTGTGACCTAAGAGAATAAATTTATATGGTTATAAAGTTTATAAAAACAAACAATACTTATACTGACAGAAAACAGACAGCAAAACAATGGGATGTAATATTCTGCTTACAGGTTAGGGCTGGACGATACATCGAAAATGTATCATCATTGTATTAACTGTTAAATTCAGCATATTGCATACAACTGAGTAATCACACAGGAGCTTGAAGTATTTCACCAATCAAATGGAGCCCTTTGCAAATTTGGCCAATCAGATGGATCAGTTTATATTAGATGCCCGCCCCCTACGTAGACGCTGGTGGATCACAAGCTTAGTGAGAGCCACAATGACTGAGAGCAAGATAAAAGAGGAAAATATTAGAAACAAAAGAACCTGTGGTTCAAACAACATAACTTCTCTTATTTGGAGACGATGTTCTACAAACAGGTATCTTGAAAAACATGCTGAAAACTAGGGGCAACCATGAGAGGAAATATGACTAATCTCCATTGTCACCTTCAATAAAACCATTAAGACCTGTATGAAGGGTTCCAAAAAGCTACTGTTAGCAAACCCAACAGAGTTCTGCAGGTGGAACTCCTTATGAGTAAACATCAGAGCAGTACAAAGAAATAACAAAGGCCATTGCTCGTTATTTGTCTCAAGACATGATGCCCATGAGTACAGTATGATGTGTGTGTGTTCTAAGCAGCAAAAGGTAGCGCACTACGTTGCAAAAGACCCTGGACATTTGTTCCCCCGTGTCTGTCATGTGTGTATGTTTCTCCGGACAGATGTTCTAAATTGCAAATTTTGTTCTACATTGCATCTTGATGTTGTGTATGAATGACAATAAACGATTCTTGAGAGGGCTTCATCAGTCTGATAAACGAACAGACCTGAGACCCCTCATCAGATCAGAACCCCACTGGAGAAAATCTTGGACCACAATAAGATATCTTGCAGTTGTATTTAGGTTTGTTGACTTTTAAATTATTTTCATTTTTTTATTATTTATTTAAAATAACTGATAGTAAGGTGTGTTTAACAGTATTTAAGGCATCAGAAAATGTTTTATAGGGACAATGTTTTAAAGTCATTAAGAAACTGTATTACATGCAGTTTGTTGTTTCACTAATACAGCAGCTGTACAGTTCCACTTCTTTTTAAATAAAATTGTCATGTTGGAATGGAAATGATCTATTAGTTGTTTGTTGAAAGACATCAACACTGCATACTTCAGTATTTGTTCATTTATTACAAGTCATATCGTCATCGCTGTGTTCACACAGGGCAGGTTTTCCTGATACTGTGCAGAATTACAACTGGTGTAATACTGAGTGTAAAACTGTTCAGACTGAGGAGGAGGGTGGGACAAATCACAGCAAAACATAAGAGAAGAGGTCAGTTTTCTATCCAAAGTCAGATTTAGGATCCATCCTAAAAGTTGATTAAAAATAAAGATCATCACAAGATAACTTTGTTTTGATTTTTCATATTTTTAATCTAACCAGAAGTTCTCATAATTTAGATTAGAAGGTTTGAATCTCATTTCTATGAAAGCCCAAGTTCTTGAACAATGAATCATTTTTTAATTAGAAGATAAAAAAGTTAGTAATTAAGATCTCCACCAGTCTACACCTTTTAACATTCAGAGGAAAACAGAAGCAGTAAATAGTTAGAAAAAACACAAAATCAGGTTTGAAATATCCATTCACAAGTTTACAAAGTATTTATTTCCCATCTTATCAGTTAAGCAGCACGTTGAAGGTTCAGTACTGATTTACAGTGAGGAGAATAAGTATTTGATACACTGTTGATTTTTCAGGTTTTCTCACTTGCAAATCTTGTAGATGACTGTAATTTTTATCATAGGTACTCTTCAACTGTGAGTGATGGAATCTAAAACAAAAATCCAGAAAAATACAAWGTATGATTTTTAAATAATTAATTTCCATTTTATTGTGTGAAATAAGTATTTGATACACCAGAAAAATGAAACTTAATATTTGGTACAGAAACCTTTGTTTGCAGTTACAGAGATCAGATGTTTCCTGTAGTTCTTGACCAGGTTTGCACACACTGCAGCAGGGATTTCGGCCCACTCCTCCATACAGATCTCCTCCAGAGCCTTCAGGTTTCGGGGCTGTCGCTGGGCCACACAGACTTTAAGCTCCCTCCAAAGATTTTCTATTGGATTCAGGTCTGGAGACTGGCTAGGCCACTCCAGGACCTTAAGATGTTTCCTACGGAGCCACTCTTTAGTTGCCCTGGCTGTGTGTTTTGGGTCGTTATCATGCTGGAAGACCCAGCCACGACCCATCTTCAGTGCTCTTACTGAGGGAAGGAGGTTGTTGGCCAAAATCTCACGATACATGGTCCCATCCATCCTTCCCACAATATGGTGCAGTCGTCCTGTCCCCTTTGCAGAAAAGCATCCCCAAAGAACGATGTTTCCACCGCCATGCTTCACGGTTGGGATGGTGTTCTTGGGGTTGTACTCATCATTCTTCTTCCTCCAAACATGACGAGTGGAGTTTAAACCAAAAAGTTCTATTTTTGTCTCATCAGACCACATGACCTTCTCCCATTCCTCCTCTGGATCATTCAGATGGTCATTTGCAAACATCAGACGGGCTTTGACATGCGTTGGCTTGAGGAAGGGCACCTTGCGTGCACTGCAGGATTTTAATCCTTGACGGGGTAGAGTGTTACTGATTGTTTTCTTTGAGACTGTGGTCCCAGCTCTATTCAGGTCATTGACCAGGTCCTGCCGTGTAGTTCTGGGCTCATTCCTCACCTTCCTCAAGATCAATGATGCTCCACGAGGTGAGATCTTGCATGGCGCCCCAGACCGAGGGAGATTTTCCATTATTTTGTATTTCTTCCATTTTCTAATAATTACACCAACTGTTGTTGCCTTCTCACCAAGCTGCTTGCCTATTGTCCTGTAGCCCATCCCAGCCTTGTGCAGGTCTACAATTTTATCCCTGATGTCCTTACACAGCTCTCTGGTCTTGGGCATTGTGGAGATGCTGGAGTCTGATTGGYTGAGTGTGTGGACAGGTGTCTTTTATACAGGTAACGAGTTCAAACAGGTGCAGTTAATACAGGTAATGAGTGGAGAACAGGAGGGCTTCTTAAAGAAGAACTAACATGTCTGTGAGAGCCAAAATTCTTACTGGTTGATAGATGATCAAATACTTATTTCACACAATAAAATGGAAATTAATTATTTAAAAATCATACATTGTATTTTTCTGGATTTTTGTTTTAGATTCCATCACTCACAGTTGAAGAGTACCTATGATAAAAATTACAGTCATCTACAAGCTTTGCAGGTGGGAAAACCTGAAAAATCAACAGTGTATCAAATACTTGTTCTCCTCACTGCATGTTTCCACTACGCTGTGATCAAAGAAACAACTGAAAAGAATCTCATCTTTCTCATGAAAAGATTGTTTTCTGTCTTATGTGAGCCAGGAGGGAGACAGTGGTTAAACTGGATGAATTCAGTGACACACCGGACACTGTTAGATGTGTGTGTGTGTGTGTGTGTGTCTGCTGACCTGGATCTTGAGTCGGAGCGGGAGCGGCTTCGGGAGCGGGACGATCCGGACCTGGACCTGGAAGACTTTGTGGAGTGAGAACTGGAGCGAGACGAAGACCTGCCTCGGCTGCGAGAGCGACTCCTGGAGCGGCTGCCTCCACGGCCGCTGAAAGGAGGAAGAGAAGTGAGACACGTCAGACTAAATACAGACACAACCGAAAACTGTTCTCAGACAAAGGTCGGCTCAGGGCTGCCTGAACACAACTGTCTGAGACGTAAAGTTTATTTCCTGAAATAATCTTTAAAAACCTTCTTGAAGTAGTGATTTGAAGATGCTCACCTGTTCCGTCTCTCTTGCTCTTTTTTCCTTCTGGCTCTCATCTTGGCCCTGAAGAACTCGTACAGGCCGTTCTGCTCCCACCCTTCACTGCAGGAGGAACAAACTCTGTGTCATCACCTTTTATCAGAGCCTGGTGAAGGCTGACAGAGCTCAGGGGCGTCTACCTGTTTCTGGGCCGATCGTGAGAGGGAGGGCTGTAGAAAGCCTCCACGGCAGCCAGGAGCCGATCACTGGGGGGCATAGGAGGGGGCAGCCTGATGTCCTTAGGGTCCAGAGGTTTATAATCACTGTCTTCAAGCTGTGCAGTGACCGGACATGAGTTAGAACAGGGGCTCCTTAAACAGTGTTTAAATCCCACTAAAAACAACTTCTCAACAGACTGGTGAACAAAAGAAATCAAACCGATCGGTGCACCTCAATCCAAGGAGTCAGACTGTGGAATAATTTAGAAGATGATGTTAAAAGTGCCACATCAATGTATATGTTCAAGAGAATGATAAAACCAGATTGTTAAAAAATATGAAATGGATTAAAATGTAGCCATTCAATTTGTTGTTCTAGAAAGATTCAATGTTTTGTTTTGTTAACTGAAGACTATTATAATTTGAATTTATAATTATGAAAAAAGGGGCAAATATAAGATTTTTTCTTCTCTCTGCCACCTTTAATTTCACTGTATTTGTATTTTGTTTTTTTATTATACATAGAATTTTGTTTTTTATGGAAGGAATAAAATTTGAAATAAAAAACGCACTCTTAAATAACGTTTCAATAGACAAATAAGTTCTATATATGTATATATACTGCTCAAGATAATAAAGGGAACACTTAAAGTACACAACCTAACTACAAGTAAATCAAACTGTTTACTTAGGAAGCAACAATGATTGACAAACAATTTCACAAGCTGTCAGCACATTTAACTTTGTACAGAAAAAAGTATTCAATGAGAATATTTCATTCATTTAGATCTAGGATGTGCTATTTGAGTGTTCCTTTCATTTTTCTATATTTTAAAATAATGACTGAAAAACTGATTTGATGATGCTGATTTAAAGCATTTATTAACTTAATTTTTTTCATCTTTTTCTTATCTTCCATGCAGCTTTCTGAGGCCACTCTAGCGACCCCTGGTGGCTCTCACTTTTAAAAACTCTGGATTAAAATACAAGCATACTTAACTTTATTTTTGCACCTGGCATACAAATAAAACAGCATGAAACTATTTACTCCTTCAAAATAAAAGTAACAGAAGCGAGGATATTCATCTCCATCTAAAACCAGCATTTCTGGTGTCATTTTTTTCTGAAGACTAATGAACCAGACCTGAAATAGGACCTGAACCAATCTGTTCCTTCTAGAAAATGACATTAAGAACAAACATTTGTTTACTATGTTCCACTGTAATAACAAATGAGTTTATGAAATATACAAATGACTGCTTATTTTACTCAACCTATTAAAGGCGGCCTATTATGGGGGTCTTAGCACAAGTTAGGATCCATCTATGGGCTATACAAAACATGTTCATTTGATTTAATTCACAAAAAGAATATCAAATAATGAAATTTCATCTTTTCAGTTCTTCCTGTTCTTCAGCTCTCTCCAGAACGTGCTGTATGAAGACGTTGCTATGGAAACCCCCTCCTCTATCCCCCTTATCCATTTGTTTACTTTAGCTCCGCCCCCCGACATGGTAGACGTTTCCAAAGTGAAATTATTTTCACAAACTACAGCTTTCTTTGGCATTATAGTTAGAACATTATCATCAAAGATAAAAATAAAATTAATGCAGGCATCTCTGTTCTCCATGGATGCTGTAAAAACAGAACAACTATCGTCTTTTGAGGAAGTGGGTGGAGCTTCACCTCGGGTTGAGGAGCAGGACTCTGGTTTAAGTTGCTAGGTGACTGTTACTGTGACGTCAGGATAAGATGCTTTGAGAAATGCCATGTTTCCAGATACCTAAAAATACATGTAATTACAGCTAAAAAACTGCTGGGTGCCTTTTTTTTTTTGGTTTTTGGACTGCTTCTCTAAGCAGTAGAGACCTAAAAGTAAGTTTAAAAACATGAAAAAAAGTGAGTTTTGCATAATAGGTGCCCTTTAACATTTACAAACTCTGTGTTTGTCTCAACTCAGCTCAGCTCTAAGGTTGTGTTTCTACATGTGTGTGTGTGAGTTTTAACAAATCAGTATTCTTTAATAGCACAAAGTCTACAAGCAGAATGAAAGGACTTACTTTGACCAGTGGAGCCATGAGACCAGCTGGCAGATCAAAGTAGGGCACGTTGGGAACCAGACTCGGGTCATCCTGAACCTGTTGCTGCTGCTGCTGTTGCTGCTGCTGCTGCTGCTGCCGCTGACGTACGTGAGGTGAATGGCCATTGAAGCCAGGTGGAGGCGGTCCAAAGTCCGGGCGCTGGCCTCCAGTCCAGGGCACGTGATCGGCTCCCATTCCAGGTGGGGGGAGCCTCTGACCGGGGTGGTGGTGGGGTGGAGGAGGACCTGGCATGTCTGGCGAACACAGCTGAGTTTGAAATCATTCCAGGAAGATATTAGAGCAATCGGACATATTTGCTGCTCCGCCTCCGTCTCTTTACTCACCTCCAGGAAACTCTCCTTGAGGAAAGTCAAAGCGATGTGGGGTGTACGGGGGTCTGTCATAGTGGTGTCTGGGAGGAAAGTCTTCCTGCATGAAGCGCGGAGGGAAGCGTCCGAAATTGTGTGGGGGCGGGGGAGGCTGGTTGAAAGGAGGCGGCTGCTGGTGGGGAGGGAAAGGTCCTCTGAAATGGGGCGGTCTCTAGATGAACGGACAAGACGGACAGTAGGGTCATTCACAAAAAACAACTGAACATCTCCACCTGTTACAATTTACTAATGTCAGGTTGAGAAACACAAAACACCAGAACCCTGAAGCATGTGAGTGACCTGGACCACGCAGGAGTCGGGACAAATATATCGATCATCAGTGGGTGGACTTAATCAGCACTCATTTCTTTTTAAAAACATTTCCTGCTTTAGTTCTGCTACTTTAATATTACCTCTCAAAACTTCTGACCTGTAAAATAGTGTACAACTCAAATCCAAACCTGATTACTCTGTAATACACCCTGATTCAATTCACCAGATTTATTCAACTTTTCTATGTTAAACATGAACCAGATGTGTGTTCTTGGCGTGATAAATCTCTGTAGCCCAGAGCTGGATGCTCAGATACCTGTAACTCCTTCATTTATAACCAAGGTAACCTGAATCAGCTGATTTCAGCAGCTCTGTGAGGAACAGAGATTGCTTGGTCTGTTGCTCCTTTAAAAAAAATAAAAATAAAAAATGCTTAAAGCCTCATGCTTTAGGGTCTCTAGTAGGAAATTGGGTGAATGCTAAAAACACCTGTTTGGAGCACTCTACAGGTGAACAGGTTAACTGGAAGCAGAATATAAAGGGGAGCATTTCTAGAAAGGCTCAGTCATGCAGCAAGGTTCACTTTGTGAACAACTGTATGAGCAAATAGTCCAACAGTTTAAGAAGAATGCTTCTTAGTTAAATGAAACAAAAATGAAAACAAACAAAAAAGTCAAGTAATCTAAAGTAATCCTACACATACCTGCATGCGAGGAGGAAACGGGGGTTCCCTGTGACTCCAAGGAGCCTGATCGGGCTGGTTACCCCACGGCGGCTGCTGATCAAAGGAATTCCAATTTGGAGGACCCGGGTCAGACCCTCCTGGCCCACTCCAGGAGCCCCCTTCTCTTGGAGGACCTCCGCTCCAGTTTCCTGGCTCCCTCTGTTCATTCCACATACCCTCATGGCTGTTCCAGGGAGGGCAAGGAGGCGGGGGCTGGTTGGGGTCAAAAGGAGGCTAGGAAAGGTCAAAGGTTAGAATGAATGTGAGTGCTGCCAAATGAAACAGGAGTCCTCCTAAAGGGTCTAGACCAAGTTCAGGAGGATTACATCATCGGGACTCCCTGTGTATCTGCATCAAACATTTTCAAAAAGTACTTTTGGACAACAAGAACATTTTACAGATCTAAAACCACTGAAACCTCATTAATGAAAGTTAACTAGTTGTGTGACTTGAATCAGTTATAGTTAGGGCACAGGTTCTCAAACTACGGTCCGCAAGACGTGTCTTGGGGATCCTCAAAAAAATTCAATAAACTGTTAATTTATTTATTTTTAAAAATGCATATATGTAATAATGCACTAGAAAAACAAACATACCAAACCAAACAAAATAATATTCCCATGACATTTAGGGGTTAAAATAACAGTAAATTATTTGCATTAACAGAATGGGGCTTATGAGGGGATCCCTGGATTTTTTTCACCCTTGTAAGGAGTCCCCAGACCCAAAAAGTCTGAGAACCTCTAGGTTAGGGTACTGGGTGAGCAGAAGAGGTGTGCATTCACACACACACACACACACACACACACACACACACACACACACACACACACACACACACACACACACACA